ATTAGTGGAAAGTTGTATCTCGTTATATTAATTGCTTCTTGATTAGTTTGCTGAACACTGAAAGAATTAAGTGGAATTTGTAGTCCGATTTCATACATTTTCRCACTGAGACATTGGAATGTAACACGACTATCACGTACTAAATTTAGTYGAAATCGGTCGRTAAGCGCCCGAGATATGTGATTCCATCTAAAAGTGAGCGGTGCCACGGCATCGTTGAATTTTTACAGCGCCTCGTATTAAGCTCTCTCCTACCATCTTGGGCATATTTAGTTATTGGCTTATCGTCCTTTTTAATCTTTTTAGAGTTTTTCTTAGTTTAAATTCCATATGGTTTATTTAATTTTACTCCACTTATTTCTAACTTYCACTGTCTATCGAATTTTTTTCCCACCGCATTTGTTTTTTTTACACATATGGTCACATGTATAGCCTTCACTGGTAAAATGATTGTCACTGTGTATAATGCATATTTGTAAGAAATATTGTCAATAAAGCTTTTCGTAAAAAAAAATGTTTTCTTTTTTACTCAACGATTGTGGCAGGATTATGTTGTATGCCGCAAGTGTTTTACGATTATTATCGTTGTGAGTTAATGGCATGGAAAATTGGTTTCAATTGAAATTATATTAAGCACGTCCAACAAACCACTCTGACTCCACTTCAATCTAAGGAGCCTACGGACGTTGGCTGATTTTCATTTTATATATGTACATATATACACACGGTCATACCGCCTGTTGCAATATAGCACGAGGTCGAATAAAGTGTTGTATATTTATGTATGTACTTGGATACAAAAACACTACGTATACATACGTACACACAGAAGAAGAACATGCATATCGAAATCAAATTGTTTGGGCAATTAAAATGAAATGCACTTTCCCGAGACTAATAAAATACTAATGGATACAGGTCCATTATTTCCACGCTACAAAAGTGGCGCAATTGATGAGTCCATTTGTGTTGGTATTTATACATATGTTAAATAAACATCAATAACAGACAGTGGAAGCAATAAAATACTCCGAGTTCCAACTAAGTAATTTCAATTAATTTCACAAAATTAGCAGGAAATTACCCCAAGCCAATGAGACTTAGGTACAGTGCTGACTAAAAGTACGCGCGGCTTGACTKCGACCACCAACTCTGCGGACACCCTTAAGCTTCAAAATATAATGGTCTACAAACTTTATGCCGACTAAACTGCTGGATTGTGCTGAGAAGCCCTGTAGCACAACGAAGTTTATTTCATGTCTCGAAACTTATATGCGGAGGTAGGTTCTGTTTAGAAAGTCCATTGCACAGTTCATCTCTTAAGGTTATATCCACTTGTATTTTTTTTAATGAACATATATTTAAGAATATTCTCTGAAAATTTCAAGTTGATCCGATCAATAGTTTCGGAGACACAACCTTGAAAAGGTGGACGCTCGAGGCCAGGTATTGAGGGCGCAGTAATTAGAACTTTAAACACGTTTATCTCAAAATCGTGTTTTCAGAGTCGGTGAGGAAAATTTCTCCGAAACCGCTAAACCGATCGGTTTGAAATTTTCACACGACCTACTCAGATATATTTTTCAGGTTATGATCGAAGGAATCAGGTTTTGGACAATAATTTCGATTTTTTAAGCCACTTTGAAGTGAAAAATTTTCATCAAAAACTGAATTTTTTTTTTAACAGCCGCCATTTTGTTAAAAATCGAAATTTCGTCTAGACCTTCAACCATTACCTGTATTTATTTATCACAAAACTAAATATTTTTGGTTTTTGGTTTTCAGCTCAACGCCAAGCACTTTTTTTGGACGTCTCTCCGCAGATCATCTACAGGAACTAGRGGATCCAATATTTTTTAAATAAACCGCTGATTGTTGAAGTAAATTAAATTCTGTTTAAGTACATGCTTTCCATTAATGTAATAAATAAAATGCCTCCTTGGAAAAAATTTACAAAAAATCGGGTTTTTTCWGCCTCGCAAGTGGATATAAAACCTTAAGCAATAAAAAAAGCGATTAATGGAAAGTGTCGTAAGTCATAGAGGTTTCGGATCGAGTAATGTGTTTTATTAGATGGCAAAATATTGTTCGTAAATCTAAAGTACTTTTTAATATCTGTTGGAAAGTAGATCGAACCTTTAACTTAAGCCTTATTTACACGGCGTAGTTCAAAGGCATTCAGACTTAACTACGGTTTTAGCTTTACATTAACCCCTAGCAAATATTTCAGGTAGCTGTAGAGATTCTGATTCAGGTATTATTCTGTTCTGTTTAAATTATGTCAATAGAAGGCAAGTTAACTCAAACTGTACTCCGAAAACGAATAATGTCTGCGCTTTCTAACGATGTAGACTGCAAGCGACCTGGAATTTATATTAAAGAGCATTCTCTGTCCGGATAGCCGATAAACTCGGGAAGCGAATACTTGTAAAGGATAAGTCCACCTATTGGCGCTGTGCTCATCTATTTTATGAAAGATTTTGCAGAAAGATCTTGGTTTGCGGAATTACAAAATCCAACTCGTGCAAGAATTGAAGTCGACTGACCATCAGACGCTTCGCACGTTTGGTGAAGGGGCCAAAAACGTGATGGCTTTCGATCCCAATTTTCACCAAAAAATTTTGCATTTGCATTTGAAGTGCTGATAACTCACAAACCATTATTGAGAGTGCGTTAATTCCTCAAAATCTCGCTTTTTGGTAAGCTCGTTGGACGAAGGGATTCTTTGGTCAGTCCATGGARAACGTTATCGAACAATGATTAATGATTATTTCGTGACCAAACTATAGTATGTTGCTCTGGGCGTTCTTTGATTCCAGCAAAGCGACGCTAATTGCCATACAACCAACGAAAAAGTAAATTATTTGAAAATAACTTTTAGTGAGCGCGTGATCTCATACAGTAGACCTATGGCGTGACGTCCAAGATCGTGATTTAATACCGGTGAGTTATTTTTTATGAAGTTATGTTTGTCTACATAGATAAGCCTGAGACGATTGTGGCAATGGAAAAGAATATTCGGCGCGTCAATGCAAACATACAACTCGATTTGTTGCAAAAAGTGGTTTAGGTTGGGCGTGTCTGCCAGAATGTATTCAACCCAGTCGCGGAGAGACCTGAATCGAAGCGTAATTGTTCGTGACTTTACATATCCCCAAAGTAAAAAGTCTAACAGTGTGATGTCAAACGATCTTGTTGGCCAAACGACCATCGCAAAATGTAAAGTGAAGGGTTCTCTCAATAAATCCATAGATTGAAGCGTTGTATGGGAAGTGACGAATTTTTGTTGAAACCATATGTCACCGAGCTCGCGAGCTTCAATATAGATTCATAATCATGGTGGATAACGATCGACGTAGATGGTTACATTCTCATCGGTATCATTTTCGAAGAAATGTGGACGGATGATTCCACCGACCCACGAACCACATCAAACGTCGGGTCGTCTTTAAACATCAAGTTTCAAGAGCCCATAGAGCGAAGCGATRTCGCTTGGGAATGTCGAGCGGCTTTAGTTCTTGCACAACATCTATTTTGTGTGCTTAGGGTTGAAGATATAAACGTAAAATGTGCTACGTCGTCCCATACGCCACTACGAGTTGCAGCGAACGGCGCCGAATTGACTCTTAACGGTCTTCGTRTAAACTCTGCAACTTCTATATTGAATGTTATCCTATCAAACTATCGGAAAATACCTCTAATTCAATCACCAGTTAACACTTACTACTATTCACCCCGCTTAAAGAATATTTCAACGCAACGCATACACAATGTGGAACTCTTAAATATCGCTTCGTTTAGAGAAGACGATGCCTTAGATAGAACACAATTATTTAACTATTGCTCCTGAATATTATAAAAAAAAACTCCTTAAAGTAAATACATATACGGGTGCTTTCGGTACTGCTATATCCACATATGAAACTATTATTTTCACTTCTCATTCTCTCTCTCTCTCAGATATGAAGTTATTTCTCGATTTAAAGTCAAACAAACATAACAAATATGCTTATGTACATTGATATTGAAGCTCACCTGGATTTTCAGCTCGAAAGCGTACGACTGCATATCCGCGACTCGGTATCGATACGGTATCCTTAAATGGTGGCCTTGTGTTGTTGCTGTTGTGTGCCAACAAATTGTTGTTGACTTTCAATCGTTTGGCAGTTGAAATAGTCAATGGCATTCCAGTRGAATCACGTCCCAAGGCAGTAACGATAAAACGATGGCCGTGCAAATGAAATGGATGATGCAAGCGACCGACCACTACAAAACGGTTGAGCAACGGTAACGGTGTTGGTTTATTAAAGGTGGTYCATATTGTGGTTTGTTTGGTATTTTTATGTTTTGTTAGAAAAAAGCTCTTTTTCAAGGGCKATATAGGCAAATGTTATCCGCGTAATGGAAGCGACGTTAAGAAGTGTTGGACAAATAATTATTATCAAATAGGGTCACATAGCTGATGTTTACAAGTTGTGGCAAAACTAATATCAAGGAGTTAATTGGTTGAAAATTATGGGTCAGTAGGGCTGAATCCTTTTCACAAGGACAGACTCCTGAAGTGGCTCTGGCCCCCATCTCCGTCTTCCACGAAAAAAGCTTAGGAAGATCACGGCGTAGTTGGAAAAAACTGGTATGAAACTCATGACTCCCACAGAGGCTAATTCTAATCATACAGCCTAGAGTTGCTMGACCAGTTGTGCTAAAGGAATAGTTCTCACAGGGCCTCGCATTAAACTCTCCATACCTATGTGAAGTTTTCCAAGCATATTTCCAGCAGAAGTCTTGCCATAAGTCGGGATTAAATTGCTATGATTGCATCAACAATCTATCGGAACGTAATCAAGTGCACCTTATCTCGGTGCCCGGTCAAAATGGTATAGCCGGGAATGAAGTGGCTCATGAGCTCGCCCGCTCCGCCACAACCACTAACATGGTAGGACCTGAATCTTTCATCGAAGGAAGAAAGAGTAGGCAGGGAGAGGTATGAGAACAACCTACCTAGGGACAAACTGAGGCGAGTTTTCGCATTTTTCA